TTAATTTTTGTACTGGCTTTAACAAATTTGCGAATTTTAATACAAAATAAATTGACTTCAGTCATGAGTCTTAGACCAATATAGTCCCAACAAAGAATTTTTTGTAATAGTAAGAGATCTCATTGGGCTGTCTATTCCACCTGTGCTCCAACTTGTAGCGACACTGCGGTTTTCGGCAGAAGGTTTCTATCAACGGTCTGCCTCCTTGGCGCGACCTACAGTTACGGTGGCTATAACAGAAGTGCTAAGAGCGCTTGAAGGTTTCACTTGCCTATGCTGGATAATGCTTGAAATGAACGACAAAGAAAAGTGGATATCAAGTAACGCTTTACGGTCATTACTGGTTGTAAAACCAATTGTTCATGACTTACATTTTTAAAAAATTTCCTGCCAACGAATAACTGCTCGGTTTAATTCTGATACTTTAACCGATAAATCAGTTGCCGTAACACACAAAATCGTTACAAATTCTGTTTCGAAAATGAAATTGATATGAAAATTAATAATCCGATTGTGTAATATGGCTTTTCCACGGCATCGGGAAATACATTCTTCGTCCTCTCAATTACGAATGCGAATTACTCCCATTCACACGGCACGAAATTTGATAGTTTTCGGTTTCACTTGTTTTTCCCATTTGAAAACGCATGGAAAATGAGAGATTTTAATGGAAGTCAACCAAATCCTTAATTGAATTGGTAATGCAATGCCAGTTTCTTTAATAATTTCCCATTTTTTTTCTTCTTTAACAAACAAATAGTGTTCGGTTTCAAATAAATGTTTGTCTATTAGTGTTTTCTTTTATGATTTTCATCTCTTTTTTTTTTGATTTCTCAGCTGGTTTCGGTAAAATTTCGTTAAGATTAGACAAGGCATCGATTTGGTCGTAATTCGCATGGCATTTGAGAGCGAATTGTCCACTTTTACTGTAAATTTGTATGGTGAATTATATAATTCGGCATGTATTTGCACACCGAATTACCATTGAGAGAGCGAGACATGTAATTGGGTTGTCGTGGAAATGTCGTATAACCCCCTAAGCAGAATTTTGTCGGTTTGAATTCTGATTCTGACAACACCCCTAATAATTTAAGTCCTTTAAGGCAATAAACAAAAACAAATCAGTTTAATACATACATGGGGAAAATTTCATGGCCTTTAATAAGTAAAACTTATTAATTTTAATGAAATTAGTTAGGAAAATTTGGAAGTACTTCAGTATATACATACTTACATGCATGAGTAAATACATTGTATTTGTTGAATTTTTACAAATTGGTGTTATGTCCATCCTTTGTGTAGTTTTAAATTTTGTAAACACAATTTAACAGTCGAAGGAAAGTTGAATAAAGTCTGCCAAAACAAGGTAAATCTAATAAATGCTCGTCGTGCTAAGTAAAAGTGCAAACAAAGAATCCAAAACTTTGAAGAATATATTTGCAACAACCCAAGTACATGCAACAAATTACAAAATGACACAAGCTAACCGAATGTACAATAATTAAGTTTAATCAATGACCCAAGAGGAAATTACTGTGGTTGTATATTAGCCGCCAACTGTGGTAGTTTTGAGAGAAATAAATTTGTTTTCCTCTCAATATTTTATAATTACATATATTTTTGTTATTAAAAATATTTGATTTAAGATTTAATCTTTGCATGCTTTAATTGATAATCTCGAAACCATTTAGTAATAGTTAGCCTTTTGGCACCTAGCACACATTATACTATATATATGTATTTATATATGTACATACATATGTATTTATATTAAATATGTACCATCTATTTCACTAAAACGCCAACATAGCTTTGCTTATAGCCACGCGTAGAGGAAATGTAATCAGAAAAATGTAAGAAAATAACAAACCATCAGTTTTGAACACAGTGTGGGCGAGGGCAAGGCTTACAGTTTTACCATAAAGAAAGTTGCTAAAGGAAATAACGGTACGGAAAAGTCGTATACTTCCGTTTTCCGGTCACAGAATACCACTTTACGTAGCTGGCAGTTTGCAGCGTCCAACTGTTAAGCGAGTAGATTTACTTTCGTTCGTTATCATGGCGAAAGCCGTATGAAGCACAAAGAAAACTAAAGTTGCGAAGAAATAGATAACGCTAGGGAGACGAAGTCCTATTGGTGGTGTAACGTACATAACACGTAGCTTTAAACTCTTAAGGGCTATGCAGACAGTGATATGCTAAAACTAATCGATTTTTGATTGAGATATAAAAATATCTGATTATTTATAATAATTAACCATTCCCTATGTTCAAATCATTCGAAACCGAAAAAGACTCAGAAGTCGTCTTCTACTTTATTGATATGAGCAGCGAAATCAACAATATCGTGACATTCATCCCTTATTTTCGCTGTTTAGTGTCAGTAGGAAATACTAAGTGCTGCTGTCGCACCTAAGCCTTCCCACGGAGTGGAGGTCTTCGCCTTCCTCTGCTTCCGCCAGCGCGTATTGTATGGAGTACTTCCAGAATATAAATACTATCCATTCGGATGACGTAAACTAGGCAGCGTAGCCGCGGTTTCTTCATTCGTTGACCTATTCCAATATCTTCTTCACTATAACCCGTTTAGTCCCCCACTCCAAAGACCGACTCATAAGTTGCCACTATATATATAATATATTATATATATTTGGCAGTTTGTAACTACTGAAGCGATCTTCGGCCGAGCTCCTCCTCCAATATATGGGTTTGCGTCTTGATGTCTTTTCAAGAAATGAAGGGACCTACAGTTTATACTAAGCCGCCTCCAAGCGGCTGATGATTTTTTAGGTGGCGATTTTATTTCTTGTCCGAAATACACTTGGAGGGATTGACATTACCTACCATTACCTACCGGGGGGCGACTGCATTTAGAAGATTTAACTTTTGGATGTTGAACGAACCAAGATTTGAACGCTAGTTTTCCGAATGGGATTACGCAATGCTAACCACTCGGCAACCGCGTATATATATATATATATATATATACTAGGACGGAAATGATAATGGACTTGTAGAGTTTGGTTTTCGTTCGCCGAGAGAGGACTTTACTTTTTAATTGCCTGCTCAGTCCAAAGTAGCATCTGTTGGCAAAACTGATTCTGCGTTGGATTTCCAGGCTGACATTATTATTGAGGCCCATATATAGACGAAATTATGTACGACCTCGAAGTTATGACTGTCAACACCGACGTGGGAGACGAGTCGGGAATGGAATGACTGTTTGTTTGATGGCAGGAGATATTTCGTCTTACCTTCGTTCTCTAGCAGACCCATGTGCTTTGCTTCCTTATCCGATCTGGAGAAAGCAGAACTCATGGCGCGGTTGTTGCGGTCAATAAGATCAATACCATCGGCGTACGATAGCAGCTGTATACTCTTATGAAAGATTGCATCCGCTACTGGCGGCATCGGTAGCCGAGACGCAAAACCAATAAATGGGAGGAGGAGATCGGCCGAAAAATCGCTTCAGCGGTTACAAAGCGCCAGTTATGTATTCTCTCTATTCAGCTCGCATTACATTCTCCAGCATCAAATTAAAGAAATCGCACAATAACTCTTTATTGGTCCATAATCTTGTTTGATACCGAACGGCTGGGGTAAGCCCGTCCCTATCTGATTGCGTCTCTGGTGTTGTCCAGCGTCAGTTACGACTGGTTAGTATAAGTGGTTGTGGAATACTAAATTCAGACATAGTGGCGTAGAGGTTGCTTTTCACAGTACAATCGAAGGCTTTTTTAAAATTCGAAGACGTGTTCCTCCATAAATTCAGTAAACTCTGGGTATCAGTCACTAAACCAATTCTCTGAGTCCTACAAGAGTTTGCTCTGGTCTTGGGACCTTCCGTAAGTCACCGTACTTTTTGTAGAATTTTCGAGCATTACCTTTAGCCGCCAATCTAGACATACTAACGCATTTCGGCGACAAAAGACAAAAGAAGTCTGCAAATGTGACTTACTTCCCTCTTCAGCTCTCGGTATCTATCCCACACAGCAAGTGTTGTGGTCGATTGTAGAGTTGCGATAAGTTGTATATGAATATAAGAAAAACTGAAAGCTCCATTCAAGAACCTTTCTTCTTATTTCACACAAATAATACCCAAACCGAATTCAGTCAAAAAAAAAAAAAAAAAAAAAAAATTGGTTTTAAAGGCCCAACTTCAGCTTCAAATTATTGAGTGAATCCTCATGTTTTTCCTACTAATATATTTTAGTGTTTAGTCACCTCCAAACGGCTTGAAGTTTTTTATGAGAAGATTTTATTGTATTTCAGGTCTTCAAAATATTGGTATTGGTACTCTATGCCGACCGCATTAGGATAAAATTGCTTAGACATTGATCAGACTTATAGCACATACACTTTAAAAGCTCCTTCAAACAAGTAAGAACTTATCAATAGAGATTTTTTCCGAAACAAGGGCGAAGGTAAATGAAGGGGTTCTCACTTTCCTGGCAGGAAATATCAACAATATAGATTAGTATTAAGCTTTTTGTAGTCCCAACATATTTTTTGTACATACTACATTATATATTCTAAGTAAAACTCATTTATTTTATTTTTTATTATTTTTCATTAATTTATTTTCACCTTATGGTTTGTGCTTACTATTTCCGCAATGGTAGTTTTGCTCTTGCTTTTGTATATAACATTTTATGCCCCAAAGCTATTCCAGTATATATGCATATTATACATTGATATATNTATATAATATACTCTATTGATTGAGAAATGAAATTGTATGATTTACTTCTCTTCTTCTTCGCTAATTTACGCATGCATTTACTTGCTATTTCACTGCTTCCATTTGCATCTTTATTAAAACATATTTATGTATTCACTTACTACAGCTTTTTACCAATTACCTTTGCATTATTAAATTATTCAACTAACTTCCTTAGTATATTCAAAATTTTTAACGGGTTAAACTGAAGAGAAAAGTAGAAAGAAAATAATACTTAAAAAGAATTCGAACATTTCCATCTGCTTAACACTCAATTCAGGTGGAAACTTGCCAGGAGAAGATAATCTCATTAGAGCTGCAAGATCCAGAAAATGACGATTACGAAAGTGAATATAGTGGCAGGTATAAAAATAGCCCCTCATCAGCAATGCCTACGCTCGCGACCAATGTCACTGTCTCAGCCTCATCATCCATTGTGTTGGCCGATGAGACATTGGAGGATGAGGAACCACCGGAGCTGTTGGAAGAAACAACTTTACTAGACACCGTTGACGAGGATGATGCCGAAGAAGCTGACGATGGCAGCGAAGAGGAAGATGAGGAGGACGCCGCCTCCATTGTCACTGTTCATGCAAATAATGAAAAGCTCTTCCTACGCAACGATGACGATTCAGCGCCATCGGACGATTTAGACAGTATCAGTATGTTTGGCCCTTCGTCCATTGACAGTACATCATCTGTATCAAAGCTGCGTATACGGCCTGTGCCGATAACAATTCACCAGACATTAGCTAAGGAAGTTGTTGTAACAGCGTCAGCTGAACCAACTGGGAGTGCAACTGCAACGCCAACTGAATTCTCAGCTCACAGCACAAATGCGGCAAACACCATTGTAGAGGTGGTAAATCCCTTGATAACCGGCGAAGGACAGGTGAAAAGTATTACGGTGGGCAGGACAATAGAATATCCTACCGTATTTAAATATGAACAGGTTAAAGGTGTACACGATGATGATGACAACGACAACGAGGGTGAGCAATTAGCAGCTGCTTCAACAGGCGTGTTGCGTAGTAGTACGTTCGTTATGCCCAAAATACAACAACAACAGCAGCAGCAGCAGCAATTCCGACCGCCACAAGAGGAACTATCGTTGAATGCAAAAATGAAGAGTGTGTTGGTGGAATTATTGGAGAATGAACGCGTCAAATTGAATTTGCAGAAGAGTCTGGAAGAGGAAGACAAGGAGCAGCAAGAGGGCGCCTACGGTGACACGGACAATGAGGATGATGTTGTGGACTACGCGGTGGTTCGAAATAAAGATCTCAGTGGTGCAGGAGGTGTGAGTGATGATAATGGCAATGAGCGGCTGTTGCAGGAACTTGTAAGGGATAGCAATAGGAATACAATTAAAAAACTAGCAGTCGGGCTTGGCGATGACGATGATGAAAGTGACGCGGAAGAGGAATATGATGATGATGATGATGATGACGATGATGACGATGATGACGATGATGATGATGATGACGATGAAGAAGGAGAGGAAGAGGATGAAGAGTCTTTGGACTCCAGCGATTCAGAAGTAGAAGCCGGCGGCGAAGATGATGACGAGGAGACTGTAAATATAACATTCGTCGACGGTTGCCAAGTGATTAAGAATCCCAATGCTGAATCTACGAAACTACAAAAATCCCAAACGTACACTTCCATTAAAGAGGCTGATCAGCCAAAAGACTCAGTGACAGATGCAAAACCCGATCAACATCTGGTTGTGAAACTTGAAAGCCCCGTAGCTGAAGTCCTGAATAAGGACATGGAAAATACTGTGGAAAAACTGCAGGCAGAGCAACGTAAACTCGAAGAGATCACAAAACAATTGCGCAAATCTGTAGAGAACTTACTGGCCGATGATGATGAAATCGCGTGTGCAATAAGTGATGTCAGCAGCAGAGATCAAGATGGGGTGCATCCAAAACAGGGTGTTTTGCGTACTGTCGAAACGAAAACGGTCATCGATGAGGACGGTGGCAAGAAAACGATTGTTATCGAAACGATACACAAGCCAGAGGGCAAACCAAAACGACACGCAACACGATCTGATGCCGAGACCGGGGAAACGATTTTCAACAGACTTCTGCATGCTGGTGGCGATCACAAACAAATATTCGATCAACAAACGGGTGAAAGCGTTACAACAACAACAACCACCGATGCCGACGGCACCGTCACCACAACAACGACTACGATTTCGAACGTCGTGAAGAGTGGCATCCCCAGAGCGGTTTTAAAATCAGAATCGAATAAGAGTGCAGATAATGAGAATGCTTCGACGCCAGCGGAAGCAGGCGGCAGCGCGAAACAGAGCAAGCAAAAACGAAAAGGAAAAAATGGCAAGAAATAAATAAATACTCACGAAATCAAATAGAAATAGAAAGGTACGAAGTGTATACATACATACATACATTCTATAACACGGCGCTAGCTGACATGCGTATGTCGGTATGTACACGTACAAAGGGAGAGTGTGACATCGAGAACGATAAATATGTGAAATTATATTTATTACTTCTGCAGGCAGTTGCATTTGCAAAGAGAAGTGGGTGTGTATAATAAGCTCGTTGTATAGGATTATGTGTGGCAACAGAGAGAGGAGAGAGAGAGAGAGAGAGAGAGAGAGAGAGAGAGAGAGAGAGGAGAGAGGTAGAGAGGAAAAGAGTGTAGATAGGTGCAGGGCGTAAAATAATCCAGCAAATTTCATATTTGCAGTACTTCTCCGTCAATATAAATTTTTGATTGATAATCAAAACAGAAATTCGAATTTACGCCAAATTTGTCAATGATGAACTAATCGAGTAATTAATTTAAATCACTAATCGATTTAAATTGCTCGAAGCAATGATTCAAGTAAATGTCGTGTCTGGGTATAGTGAACACCTCGTTATAGTGAACACCCAAATTTTTACATGGATTACTCTAAATAGTGAACCGTAGAAAACCTCTAAATAGTGAACAGATTTGTTTGAAGGAATTTTAAGGAAGAAAGGAGAAAGAAAAAAAAGCACAAGATGAAATAAAAAATGAGAGAGGGTGTTCCCCTAGTTTGTGCTTGTGTTGTTACCTTAGTGGCAATGTCGGTTCGAAAGTCGCACGAAAGAAGCAAACTTCACTTCTCCAATTCTTTCAAAAAGCATACAATTAAATTTTTCTACTTATTTATCTTATTGGTCTTTTGAATTTGTATACTCAAAGTGTATTTTGTGCAAATAAAACGAATTTTTGAGCAAAAATAATTACTTTGTTATTGTGAACAACCTCAACACTGTGAACAGGCCTTGCAATAATCAGTTCACTTTACCCAGACACGACTGTAATTGATTTATTTTATGACTGTTCATAACATTGTTGATTGCAAATTGATTAAATATCTACAAATATCTTCCAATAAGCGGTGTTATTTTGATTTTCAAAGAAACTTTTCCCTTAAAGCGTCGATGGCTTCGTGTGCCGTCTTGTTGAAAATAAACAATATCCAGCTCAATACCATTTCAATCAGCTTCGGCCCTGAAAAATGAAATCATCTCTCGTACATTACATTTTCGAAAAAGTAAAGTCTAATGATACCGTCGGACTATAGAGCGCACCAAACAGTTACACGTTGACGAGGTTTTTCAACAATAAATCTAGGGTGTTCCGTGCCCTAGATGAGACAGTTTCGCTTATTGTCGTAGCCATCGAGGTGGAAATAATCCCCATCAGTGGATCTGATTTTTTCGAGAAAATATTTTGTGAATTTTAGTAATTTCAAAGCGTTTTTGAAGCGCTTATGGTTTAATATTTATTACTGGCGTAGTTTTTACTTGTCGAATGCTAAAAACTAGAGCTTGAAAAGTAACACCTCTTATTGGAAACCCCTTCAAACTGCATGTGAATCATTGTTTTACGCCCTGATTATGAACCCTCTCTTAGTTTTAATACAGATATTTTTTTTAAATACCTTCATTTACTGTTGCTTAATATTTACAACATTTTTTTTTTGTTTAAATATGTTTTTAATTAACCAACATTTGCATTTACCATTTGTAACTAATTTAAAGTTCATTATATATTTTTGTTGCATTTAAATGACGATTTCCCAGACGATATTAGTTCTTAAAGAATTAACAAAAAATCCCACAAAAAAAATAAAAACAAAACAAAACCAACGAAATAAATATACAAAATTGGTTAATTTATATTGAAAGCAAAAAGTTTCATTTAATTTAATTAAATAAAATTGTGCTTTGCTTCCATTTTGTAACACTTAACGAAATAATTTTGCATTTATTTTTGCCATCTTTTTACACTTTATTACTTTTTATTTTCTTCCCCAACCGTTCATGTGATTTGTGCTGATTTTAGGCGAAAAAGTAAAGCTGCGCCAAAAAAAGAGTTAAAACTCACTGACAACTTAACGCCCATTATTATACAATAAATAGCTAAGGAAGCTCGATAACTCGATATCTTCCTACTCGTGCTTGAGCTATGTGCGTAAGGGTGTGTGAATAGCGATGTAAAATTACGTTTGTAACGTAAGGAAATTAACCCAAACAAAAGAAAAAAAGGATAAAAAATTAAGAAACAAAAAATAAAATAAAATTTACGTGACAAAAATTGAAAAAAATTCGTCCCTTAGTTTATAATTGTAACGAGTTCGAAAATTTAGACACCGAAAACGGTTCTTAAGAAATATCATAAATTATCCGTCGATGTGTATGTATTGTTAGATAAGTAAATTTAAATATGTTTTGCATCATTCCCTTAGTAATTGGATTTATGTCTTAGAATAAAATAAAATAAATGGAAAATATTTAAGATAAATATACGAACATAAATACATAATGGCTTAAATCATCATTTTATACAATATAGGCTTTGTCTTTATTCTTAGATACATATATATACAAGTATAACTACATATATATGGGTACATATACAAACATATGTATACAAATTTCAATTCAATTAAACGGTATTTTGAGTTAAACTATTTCTATTAGATGTACAAAAGTGTACATACATACATACATACATACATGGCTACACAGTATGTAAATTCAATGCACAATTAATGCTGTAAGATCAAAATTGTTTTGTACGCTGTTATATACATATGTACATACCTACATATAATGTGTATACACACATACACACACACACATACCGAGTATTAAGATTTATAAGAATATGCAATTGAAATATATCAGCTCTGCATTTCACAAATATTTGCATATAAACTGTAAAATAATTGCTTCAACACTTGCATATTGGTATTTGTATTGTATTTTAATAGTAAGTGTGTCAGTACATATGTATGTATTGTACATACATATAAATTTCAATAAAGCATTAGATTACATTTCTGGATGTGATGTACTCAGAAAATTGTAAAGTGGCAATTTTATAAAGTCGTTGAACAAAAACTACATACATACGTATATACATATGTATGTGTATTGAAATATTTAATAAAAGTTTATATATTTTATAGTAGCTAACTGAATTTACATAAATGTAATAAAATTTGAATTACTTTTATTAACTGAATTTATTATTATTTTCGTTGTCCAAAAGTAAGTATTAAAATTGAATAGTTATTCCTTTAAAATACAATATTTCCCTAAGAGCACACAATCAAAATTCTTGTAGGCCAATAAAAATGCGTATGTAAGTATATGCAACTGTGAACGAAACTTTATTTGGACAATGTGTGTGATTATTATCTAAAAATCCGGGGAAATTAAAATTATTAGGCACCCCGCTAGTTACTGAATTGGAGACTGTGCAGGCCATTCTTACAAAACAATGTTGTTATCTCTGAACCAACGCATCGTAGTCGCTGATTTGTGACAAGGAGCATTGTTTTGCTGAAATTTAACCCCGTCTAAATTAGTATCGCAGAAAATGCGCGTTAACGAAGGCAGAAGAACAGCTTCTAATACATTTATGTACTTTTGACTGCCCGTGCGACCCTCGCAAACAAACATTTCGCCGACACCATCAACAGCCAGGCAGCCACAGATCATCAATCTGAATGATATTCCTCCCTAACCCGTCGCCACACGAACGTCACACCAGGTGTTCCAAATATCTGTGGAAAAGAAACAATAATATTTTCATAAGATTTGTATTATGTCTTCAAAACTGCTCTAGGGTAAGAAGCTATGGCTGTTAATACTTTAAGATGATCTTAACTAAGCTTATCTCGAAGTTTGATTCATCAGACCGCAGAACATTCGACCAATCTTTTTCCGTGAAATTTTGGTATCGACTAACCCATTCCAAACGATTTTTTCTATTCTATTCTGAGAGCCACGGCTTCTTTTGGGCTTTACATCCTTTAAACCTGCTTCCAGAAGTCTTCTTCTAGCTATTTGAGCACCAAATGCCTTACTAAATTCAGCCGAAAGGACAAAAGAAGATTTTTTGTGATCCTTGAGAGACTCGCGTATAAGAATTTGGTCTTCTCGTTTACTGGTTAGACGCTTTCTTCCATTTTTTGATTTATTGTTGTGGGATTTCGTCTCCACAAATCGCCTGATAGCACATTGGACCGCGCTCCGCGAACAACCCACCAAATTGGCAATCCCAACCTGAGACTAACCTTCTTCACTTAGAACTTGAATTCTAACTCTAGCATCGAAACTAATTTCACTTTTTTTTAGGCATTTTGGTAAATATCAACTTTTTTTTATAAGATTGGTAACTTTTCACTAAATGTAATTTACGCTTTCACTTTCAATTTTTAAATGCGAAAATATTTTAGGAATTTCTCAAAGATGACAATTTTTAGGTTTAGCTTACCCAGAGTGGATTAACAAAAGCTCGGTGAGCTTGTGACTTTCAATTTGTTTTTTTAAATCTAAAAATATAGAATCCTCTACAATTACTTAGTCCTCCCATCAAATTTTAGAACGGCCGCCACCAAAAGCAAACTGAAACTCGTCATGTGATTCTTTTCGGGTTTCGACGTAATTTTCAGCCGATACAAATTTTTAATGAATTTCTAATTGCGTATGAAACGATTGCACCGTCTTAAAATACTATTTCCGAAGATTTCAGACCGAAAATTTTTCTGAAGAGCATGAGCCCCGAGAAGGCCGACCAAAATCTTCCACTGTTGGCCCGCGATGGGTACCACGAATTTTAAATGAGGCCCAAAAGCAAATTCGAAAATGGTCAGACTAGGAGCTTAAGCCAGGTCGTTATTGGTGGCGCATCTTGGTTTAATAGCTATAAACAGGAGCAAATTCACACGTAAAATCTAAGCAACAAAAATCAGCAGCAAAAGTAATGATGCCAGTTTACTTCACCCGATCTAACAAAGTAGTTGCCAATCTACTGGAAAATGGTACTCCGAAGAGTGTCTTTCAAAAGCTGGTTGGAAAGCAGGAAGAAGGAGAAATTGTGACGAGTAATTTTATTTCGATATCTGGGATCGAGGAAATACGTCCAGTACCATAATTTCCAGATAAATCACTTTGTGATTTCTGGTTTTTTCCAAATTTAAAAAAAAATAAAAATAAAAAGAAAAAGTTTTTAAAAGCTACGAGGAGATAGTTAATGTGGTTAATGATAAACTTGATAAATTAAAAATGCAAGATTTTGAAGACTATGGAAAAGACAAAGTGGACAAAGATAACGCATAAAGAGAGAATGATTTTTTTATTTTTTTTCTGGTCAACTTACCGAACTTTTGTTAACCCCCTCGTAAGCCTACATATATTTTGCATTTAAATAGGAAATTAATAAAACTCATAATAATTTAAAATATCGACAATTATTTCGGGGAATATTGCGGGAGGGACAGTCATTTGGAGGATAAAAGTCCGGGTCGTTCCAGTATAAAGATCCGACTATCACGCAAACAATTGGATTTTAGTCGCCTCTTACGACAGCCATGCTTTACCTCGGGTAAATTCTTGAGCTAACCCGCAGGGGTATTAGTTAGTAAGCGTATGAGGCCCATTGTGTTTCCTACGTTGGTCCTGATAAAGAAATTCCCTTCCCCTTTCCAAATGCTCGAACCACTTGGAGAGCTTTAAGAAATTTATGAAATTAATGATGCCCACCAATATAAAACAATCGAAGAAGAAATTTCCGTGAAAACTGAGAGCTGGGCAGTGACATAGGTAATGCTCCACAGATTCCTCCTCATTTATTTCGTTGCAGCTACGGACATTGTCAAAAGGTTGTGTGATAGTTTTTAAAAGTTCGTTAGCGGTTACAATTCAAAATAATTCAATAAAGGGCGAAGCAGCTGGGTGCCCTTTGCTAGACCTGATAGACCAACAAAAGTTGTCCGTAATGTCAACGAAAGTACGAAGAGTTGGTTCATACCAACACTCGGATTTCACAACACCAATTTTTTTTTTGTATATTTAAGGGACCCAGCCATCAGAACGACTTTTCTTCGAATGTAAGTATTACATATAATAGGTTCTTTATAACTGTCTTGATGTTTTTTCAACAAAAGGAGGGACTTACAGTGTATAATAAGCGAATAGTTGCTATTGCTGCCAAACGTATACCACTATGCAAACTTACCCTGAACAACGCCGCAGTCAGAGTTGGGAGTTCTCGAAAGGGTGTTCAACTGCTGGCGTATGCTGATGACTTTGGCTCCCAAATCACTGTTGACTGTCATAACATCGAGGTCTAAGGACCAGCGTTAAAACCAAAAATCCAATGCAGTATAACTCTTGCCAACAGGTGCTACTTTGAACTGAGTAGGCAATTTAAAAGTAAAGTCCTCTCCCAACGAACGAAAACCAAGTAAGAAGAGTGGGCATGTCGACATCCGATAAGTCAGCTTTGGGGGTAGTCGAGGAAAGAGCTTTGCGAATGATTTATTGTCCTTTGCACATTGACAACTGCGCATATTGCAAACGCTGGCTAAGTTATGTTATCCGAATTTGATAGTATTCTATGCAGAGTATTCTGGTGAAACCAGAGGAAGGGAATATTCGTTCACTCCGTTGCGATGATGGGGGGAAGAGCGAACTGGAACCAAACAGCGAAAGGAAGAGATGATTGACTATTTTTGATTCGCCCGTGAAGAAGAAGAGAAGATGTTCCTATTATTAAAACACAAAACCACAGAAACACTCTAAACTTTATGGCGCTCAAGAACAGCAGTATTGTTGTAATGTTCAAATAAGTTATGATTGTTAATGTTTATATCAAAAAGTGTGTAGTTTTCGATATGAATGATTGACGACTGATGGCTGAATCAATATTATATTCTTTGTTACGGAAGTGTATTTGCGGCATATTCAAGATCACATCAAGTTATTTATAGTAGGTGCAATACAATTAAACAAACTCGGTAAAGCTTTTCGCTTTCAAGGACATTGCGACAGGACATCGACAGGAAATTCACAAACGTCATAATGTAGCTTCAACGGCATAAGTGATTTAAAAAACTGTTTGTTTTTCTTCATGCGTCTTACGATTTTCAAACACTTTCATCATATATTAGAAGTATAATATGTATTTTGTGCTAAAATGCTAAGGGACTTCCAATAAGAGGTGCTATTTTGAATAACTCGCGATTCTCGTGAGGCCCATTACCACCTTAATGGCTTGGTCAATAAGTAAAGCTGCCGTACCTGACTCGGAGAACTCAGGATTTATTGTTGAAAAGGCTCTGCATCCTCACAAGCAACGAAATCATCGATATTTCAAACCTGGTTCTATGTTATTGCACCCCTTGGTATGCTCAGTACGTGCGCGCGCCATTAGACGATTTGCAGCCATGGGATAATATCGGCTGTATTATAACGAAGCCTCCCTGGGAGTAACGGTGGCCTTTCCGTTGCAAGAGGCGGTGGACAATGGATTTCCCCATACACT